ATCAGGGGATTGCCAAGCGTTCGAGACGTAGGGGGCTCTGCCCGAAGAGACTGCAAGAGTCGAAGAGGCTATATGCCGAAGCGGCCCCTTAAGAAGAGGGCAACTATGATGGCCTTTCGTTCGTTTGAACGGACAGCCATTCATTTTATCGACCACGTTGTCCCTCCTATTTATTTCTACGCCACTTTGTCAGGATTGACGGGGAAGAGACGGCGAACAATCATTTTGACTATGTTTTGCCCAGTCTGCATTTAAATAGATTTTTGTATATTCAGTAATATGAAAAATACCAGTTCAGTCAGTTTAACGAGATCAATCTCCCATTAACATTCTTAACTTTTAGTAACTTATTCGCTGTCTAATCTCAGATTTCCTGGATTTCTTTGAATGTTCCGTTTTGCCTGTTCTTCTGTGCCCCTTTTCAGGTTTAGGTGGATCACTCAACAAGATCCATTTTTTTTTTTTTCAAGCCATAATGGGTAGTGCGTCGCTGCAGAGCTTGCTGGACTCATTGGTACGATATGTTAAAAGATATTAAAGTATGTTTGTTATCCCAGAGATGAGGAGGATCCTTGAGTTGGGCTTCCACTGGGGGGTATTAGGTGGCAAATGCGCTAACTGCCCACATTCTCCACTGAGGGGAGCATAAAACGCAATCATGCGACTCAGCCCGTGAGTAATCTCTCAACTCATCTCTGGAAATACTTATCAGCTGTTCTTATCACGATACAATAATCACACTTCTTGTCACTTTATGATGCATACTGAAAACCAATCACCAATTACAAATTGCCAAGTTCTTTTCCTAATAAAAGACTCATAACATGGAATCGTGTTCGGTATTTAAACATGTTTATTACAGCACTATACATTTTTATTTGAGAAATAATGACTTTATTTTGCCTTATCTATTGCAAAATAAATTTAAGTGAAAAATACACAAATCATAGAATAATGTAGTAGATGACAATAAACAATGAAGTAAATATGGAGTTTGAATTATTTCATATTAAACATTTTCTCGTATTACATAAAATAAAGTAGATTTAAAGGATTATAGTTGACTTCAACCCTAATGAAAAAATGATATCAAGAAATGCATTATTCGGAAGAATACATGGCACAAAGTAGTAATGTATTTATCATCCAATATAAAAGAAAGTTATACATTTCAATATATGCTGTTAACATACAAATCTATGTACAGCTGATTCATAATGACTAACATATTTAGGTATTAGGAAAGACAAATTGAAAATACTCCTTTCCTTGCTGACTTACAATAAACATTATTCTACATTAACCATACTATAATAGAGAACACTTCATTCCAACTATTTCCATCCATTAATAATATATTTATAGCAAATATCCCTGTTGCACCTTCACCTCACTTACTGCACTCTTGCTACCGGTGAATTGAAATTCCTTGTTACAATTTTAGTAATCATGAGAACACTGCAAAATATTGTTAATTCATATTTAGTATCCCGGTTACAAATATTGAGGATGACAGTATTAAGAAAGCAATGAAAATATTAATAACATTATTACCTTAATAATGTAACCATACCAGCTGGCATAAATTTCCCAGTACTATAGCATCGGTAACCCATGAGTCCACCAAGGGCGCAGCTTGTTCCAAGTAATACTCCATAATTGCTGGGATCTTGAGAAGTTTGATAAGCTCCATATCCTATGATAGAACCAAAGAGCAGTCCAGCTCCCAGTGATGGAATAGAATCTAAAATAAATGATATTTAAAAGATAATTAAATATAATAAAGTGACCAGATGTCTTCGTTTAAGGATGGTCTTCTTATTACGAGTGCTATCCTTCTCACGGATGTCTTCTTCCAATGTCCTAAGACGACCAAAACATCCATCTCATCCTTTAGCCTTTTTCTAGACATATAACTTATTTGACACTTGTCTAGACATTTTATATTTTGTTCCTAACAAAAAAAAAAAATAAAAAAATTTGGATCGTTCATTTAAGGGACACCAAAATGAATCCCGAATTACGGAAGCTTATTCTTGAAATTTGTAATTGACGATTTAGGATTTTTTACTTATCATTGCAACCGATTAACTGTGACATTTCGAAAATTTCCCCCTATCACATTTTTTCCTTTTGACCTGTTGGGTCATATACAAATTCTCGCCACCTTACATACAAGTGCATAAATTTACTGCATCATAAATTCATCTCATCATGACTATGAAAATATTTTTCCTGGGTTATCAAACATAAGACTTACTTGATTTTACATAACCTATGATTCCACCTGCAGCAATCGCTGCAGCGTACGAAAATGCAGGAAGATCGAGAGGCATTCTTTTTTTCTAATATATTTTAAATATCAGAATTATTCTCACACTTGTTAACGTTGACTACGGTTTCAAGTTATAGACGAAGTAAATATGGTGCTATTCCTTTAGGCCGGAATCACATTAAGTGCGTCAGGGTCTCACACATGTCACACAGAAAGCGATGCAGGCACGTATCAAGAATGATAAACCAATCAGAATCGCGCTTAACCTCGTGTATTACTTCCGTCGCAATTCTGATTGGCTTTTTATTTGCGATGCATTTACGTGCAGCACTCAATGATGCGTTTTAATCGATATAAACCAGGTACAGGATTACAATCCGTACGTTTATGCCTGGTTCTACAACTCGAATTAACAAAAGTTCAACTAGTTTACACACGGTTTAGGCCCAGTTTTACAACTCGAGTTAACCAAAGTTTAATTCGTCTACAGCAGGTTGAAACCAAGTGTAAACTAGTTAAACTTCGGTTAAGTCGAGTTGTGGAACCGGGCCTTAAAAGTGCTGTAAACTAGTTAAACTTCGGTTAACTCAAGTTGTGGAACCGGGTCTTGAATGTGCTGTGATCTAGTTAAACTTCGGTTAACTCAAATTGTGGAACCGGGCCTTACACAACAACTTTACGCCGTTTTTAGGCCGATATTCCATTAGTGTTTGATTCAAAATAGACAGATAGTCGTCAGGGATGACAGAAAGAATTTTTTGCTAATCAAGACTCGTTGTTGCATTTCATTTTCTAGCAATGCAACCAGCGAACAGTTAGCTTTAGAGAGAGAGAGAGAGAGAGAGAGAGAGAGAGAGAGAGAGAGGTACAAAGGGTATTCGCTGTACGAACATAAAAAATCAATTTTCTAACTGGTGCATTGAATAATTAACAAATTATCAGGTACATATACATTCTTCCTAGAAATGTAAAAATGCATGCAATAAAAATAAATTCATTTTTAAATCATTGTTTCACAAATGGTGACAACTGAATGAGTAAACCTAGTACATACTTCTTCAGTTACAATATTCAATTATTCATTTTCATAAAAATGTTAACGGTGTCGTGGTCAAAATTATGTTTATATTAGGAATTAACGACCCGCTTCGGTTTTTCGTCGACACGTTTCGTTAAAATCGTCACTGCTCGGCTTCTTCTTGTCATAGATTAATTTGATACACCTAATCTTCATAGAGAGATAATGTATAGAGTTGGGAAAAACCGCATAAAAATTCGTCAAGTAGTTCTCGAGATTAAATCGAATGAACACATAAACAGGCGCGTATTAGGGGCTTTAAACCAGTAGAGATATCCATTTGTCTTTATAACTGTAGAAACTACACTATAATTAAATAGGTTGCAAATAGGATAAGTAAATAGGATGAAGAAGGAAGGTGGAAATAACTAAAAAGAACTTCGTACTTTTATCACTTCAAACATTTATTTTCGTTCTTGTACACTTATAAAGCCCAAAATTCTACAGAGTATAATGATAACCCCGTCCAAGAAGTATTCCAATGGCCGGCTAGTAGGCATAAAAAACGTAGATTAGTTATAAAAATACCATGTGACACAGAAAAAACAACGAAATCATTATCACTGGCCTATTATCCACAAGCGATAACTCCGTGGCACGCCTTAACTCAAAAATACGTATCACCGGAAGTTCTCAACCACTCGAAACCACATTGGAGGTAAAAACTATCCGCAAACGTCTCCTTTTCCGAGTAATTAATTTCCTTGAATGTTTGAAACATTTCCCAATCCCTAAAGAGCCAAGCCACCCGATAGCGAGACCCCGCTTCGTAGAATTTTTGAAACCGTTCCAAAATCCGATTCCCCGTGCGAAGAAAAATCCCCAGGTATTCAGAATTCGAACCGGCGCCGTAAGTAGAACGAGTTCGGCGAGAGTTCGGTGTCCTCGGTGAGGACTATTGGCGTCGCGGCGCGCAGCAGTGTCGCGCAGGAGTCCCACTGATCGAGTCACGTGTCACGCCGAACGCGGCGCGTCAACGCGTAAAACCGAAGAACCAATCGGAAGTACGGCTGAAGAGAGACGCGCGGCGTTAGGTGCGATTCCGATTGGTTGTTCGTCTTCGACGCGTCGATGGGACCTCGGTGTGACACCCGAAGCGCTTCGAGGGACTCAAACGATCAAAGTCGATTCGAGTGAACTATATCAAAGAATTCAGAAGTCCCATAGAAGCCCAGATCCTATGTTAGCGCTTGATGCTCTAAAAGTTGGCTAACAAACCAGAAGTGGGGGTAAAAAAGAGATCGCACGTGTTAGCCAACGATATCTCACGTACGGGAGGAAGAGAGACGCATATAGAAAGGCGAGTATTGGGTGTAAGATAAAGAAAGAATGCAATCGCTATATATCGCCATAAGATTAAGAGAGATGGAGAGATGATTACAGCGCCGCCATCCGTCGGCTAACATACTATTTATCGAGCATCGAACGTCCGTATCCTTCTGGGCTTCTATGGAGACTTCTGAATTCTTTGACTATATGCAGCTCGGGGAAGGATGCGAAATGTCCGGTAACATGCCTGAGAGAACGTCTCGGAAATAAGGATAAAACCGCAGGAAAGGAGTGTCGTTAAAAACACCGGCAAAAAGATTAACGGCCGTCCTAGGAAATCGGGACCGTGCCGGAGCGGCTAAGCTCACGCTATGAATTGATCCGCGTGCGTAGGTTAGATAATGAGCCTACGATGACGCAATAATTCAGGGCCACCTGTGCCGTAGTGTGCGAGCCGCTTGACCGACGAGCTGAGGTACAAAAGAAGGCTTGCGACTTGTCGGCAAATTGATAAATCGTGCAAGTCACTTCGGTCCCGTCCACGGTACTACTCTACTCTCGAGGCACGGCACGAGTGGCGACGTTCGCCATTCGCTCGCGTTCGCTTAAAGTTCGCGTTACTTCCGCGATTTTTCCACCCGGGTACGGCTCGTCCCTTAGACCGAGGAAAATGCTGTCGCATAATTTATTGATCGGCACGGGAAACATACTCGCCTTCAACGAGTTGAAGAAAGAGGCAGGACTCAATCCGAGAGATGAGGTTAGTTTTTCAATGCTGTAAGCCTAACCATTGCGAGAGGCTGCTCGAGTACTCATGCGCACATTCCGCGAGATTTAGAGGAAAACCGAATATTCGCCTAGACTTAACACATTGCAGAGCGTTTAATTGCGTTTACTTCGGTATAGTTTGTGTATCGGGTTGTTAATCTACGTAGCATGCATGTGACGGTACTCAAGAGTGTGGACACTTTTTTTTTTCTTACATATTTATGTTACTAAAATTAAGTGCTTTTGGGGGACACGCTGAGTAGATTTAATAGTTAAGGGGGGAATTTACATGCATTTCGAGTAGTAATTTATCGTTATTTGTAGTTGCTTTTTTATGTCATTTGTTCGCCGAGCTTGGAAGGTATTAAGTAACGCTTGCAGGACGAAGAAATTCTTTCTCTCGGAGTATCGTGAAATGGAGTAATGTCATATTTTATCTTATTTATGTTTTACTTGAATACTTGCATGTTCTCGACAAGGGACATTAATAATTGAGCATTCCTTGCTTATGATCGTGAATTTGATGGTGTCTTATATTGTTTATTATTTCGTATATCAAGAGGTACACCTTTTCAAACGAGTTCATGACCCTTAATGATAATAGTATACTCTTCGATATTTGATACGTCCGATATCTTTTCTTTGAATTCTATGGATTTACGCGTATAGAACATATTCGATACATTGTTAATAAATAAAGCAGCTTCGTGTTATTTATTGCTTCATGTTTTATTCCTTATGCTATCTATACCTTCGGTAATATAATAATTAAATGTTGGATATAATATCTGCAACCTTTGTTATGTCAATGCGATGTACATTATTTCCTTGGCTCTTGAATTTTTATAGCTGATCGAAGCATTGAAGATTACTCTGCAAAATTCGGAGTGTAAGGAGGATGCTTCGATTGTGGTAAATATGTTTTACTATTATGGGAAATGGGAGACGATGTCGTTACTTGGTTCCTGTATTATAGGTGAATGGGAAAGAAGAAACTAATGAAGAAGAAGTTGGAAGGAGGAACCTTAAAATCATAATTAAGGTTTTTATCTCCTCGCCAAAAGCTGATTCGTTAAAAGAAGCATTAGATCAAGGTACAGGGCAATGTATTTGAGATTTATCCATTTTCACTGGGAGTTAAATAAGTATCGAAGATATTTTTATGGTTTTTGTTTCTCTTTCAGTATTTAAAGCCTTACACACGGACACAATAGAGTCTTTAGTCATAGCATACGGTAAAACGGAAAGTGACGAGGATTTATTAACATCTCTAAAGTCTTTGTGGACAGTAATTGAAGAATACTGCAGAATGGGTAAATTGTCAAGCGTTGGAGTTAGCAACGTCAGCACAGATGTGTTCTATCAACTGTTTGAATGGGCAAATGTAACGTAGCAATTTCCTTGTATATTAAAGATAATGAAAAACGTTATTTTTAAATCAAGTCATACGGTGTGCATATTCGTTAAAAATAACGTTAACGTAAGACTGCATTTTAACAAGTTATCGTAAACTTTTAAAACGTTATGATTTTGCAGGTAAAACCGAACATTATTCAAATAAATTTGACAACCTCTTGCGTTGTTCCCCACGGTTTGCAAGTTTTCACCAAAGAGAATGACGTACAGTTGCTTACCCACAATGATCCATGCCGTAAGAATATTTGTACTTAATATGCTTCTTTCCGATTTTCATGGATTGCTACAGCTATCTTTCTATTAACAGAGATCTTACCAAAGGAAGCGTTGAACGAAGTCTTTGGTTCTGATGTCAACTTGCATTGGGTCGCTCGTTACCATATTCACTTAAAGTGCAGAGGTGTTCTTGCTTCGAAAGGGTATTTGGTATACATTAACAAACCCAGTGTAACGCCTACCTGACTGTCCATTTTTGTATAAATATATACATTAATGGTAACCATACTCTATTCCAACGCAGAATCATAAGCGATTTGGCACGTGTATACTTACCATTGAACATTTTGGAAATGCATGACGGTCGATTCGCAATAGACTTGGATGCAGTGCATTAACTTTGACCATTGTTGATTAACTTTGCAAGAGAAAAAATTCTCAATTATATACACATAACAGTGTTAGAGATTGTTATATGTAAATTAATTGTAACGAGTACCTGAACATGGACAAATCAATTAATGAACAAGTCCACAATTGTAACATTGCAATAAAAGTTTAGATAAATTGGAACGACTCTTTTCTAAATTACCACGTTCAAATATCTCACCAAATACAATTGTTTCAATAAATCCTTATATTTATTATAAAATTTATCAAATCGTGATAAGACATTGTATATGCTAATTAAAGTGATGCTACATTTTGCACACGTTCATCCTTTTTGAAATTAGGCGCATTTATTACTAGAGTGGTGAAGCAACGTTTGAAAATTTAAATACAGTATTGATGCAGTATTAAAGAGTTAATAGTATTATTTGCTATCACTGACCTTACAGATTCATAGAAGGAATTGGATGTTGCGAATCCAGAGAGAAAAGAGTACTTATTCTTTCTATGTTTAAGTATTATTCATTCCCAATTTCTTTCTTTAATTATTCACTTAATTCTTTTTTCTTTTTTTTTATATAAATTTTGTAACCAAGTTCTTATTTCAGAATCAATTGACCACTTTTTTTGATACAAAAATTCAGGTCTGTAGTACTTAATGTTTTCTAGAAATATTAGCAAGTTACATGCACATATATATACACTTTTACAATACTTCTAACATGAATTAATAATGAACATACTGTTAACTGGAAATAACACGAATATGAGTTTTAAAATTCTAACATTTTCATCTTTGTTTACTTTCTTATATACATATTCAAATTATTCGTATCTTCAACAATAATGTTTACACTGTCATTTCGTATCAAACTCAAAATTTTTGTACATACCAACGTTATTAAGTATACACTTATTGATCGCATCGAAATGCTTCATTTGTACTTATTCAAGGCGGTTTACGAATAAAGAATTTCACTGATACTGATTGTATTTAGATTACTTAAAATCGGATTACGATTTCAACGTCGGCAACTGATATGTTTCTGAAAATAGATGATTTTCTTCGCGAAATTGAATTCATACAGTTGCAGAGATAAGCGTGTGTTTCAAATATTCAACATTCCAATGAATTACTCGATCTATTAGTTTTCGAAGTTTCCTGCGTGATGTGTTGAATGATACGGGATAATGTTATGCTCATGTAATCATGAATGTTCATTATATGCCGATTAATGTACATTAGAATTATCGTCATGCTACGTTCAAATGTAAATAATAAAGGTTATAATATTACTAACAATATCAAAGTGTTATCTTGCTTCCAGTCTTACTGCCTGAACATTATGACATCGAAGAGATAATACTAGATATTAATTGAAAAAAAAATATATATACATCTCGGGCAATTAATTTATAGGCAAAATTCACTTACACCACTAGTTTCACTTTTTCCTAGGATTTGAGGATGAATCCGTGTTTAACTATGATTAAAGATATGCACTGTTACGATATTAAAGAAAAGAATAATAATTTTGTTAGGAATTCAACGGAGTTACGAATAAAATGAAAACTCACGAAATTGCGAATCATCTACTTGATTGCATTTAATATATTTTCAGGAAGGGTATTTGTTTTAATATGAGACGAGCTTTTCCGAAATTCGTGCTTTTTTTAGAGACGGTAGCTTTAGTCACACTTCCGTGAAATTCTACAAATCGGGCATTAAGCATAAAACGAGTCATAGAATTAAAGGAACGGAGCGATTAGGTCATCGCTGCTTATATCTGGAGATTCGCCAGACTTTTGCGTCTGTTTCTTAATTAATCTTAAATTATGTACGTAATTGATACAAGGCAGGGGTTAAGATACGCATAAAGTAGAATACTCGCTTTATGCGAGTTTGAGTCGAAAGGGAAAGCGTAAAATCGATATGTATGAATAAAGTATAGAGCGGCATTGTCCACTGTCCTGCGGTGTATATGTCAACCAGGAGTTACGGACATTCATGGCCAGCCGGTGTCAAGTAATTTACTAGGATGGCCTGATTCCAAGTGTTATACGGAAATTAGGATTTAGCAACTACTAAGTCACATAACTGTTTATTTTTAAGTGCACGTGCCATCGACATGCACCGATTTATTCATTCCACTTCTCTCTTATACATGAACGTATTTTGGCTGATAAGACTAATCTCAAAGGAAATTTGTAGCACGTATAAGTACATCTGTGAGGTAATTTACGTGTGTGTATGACAGAGTTAAGATAAATATATAACAGGAATAGAATATATAATTATGTACTGAAATTCTTACGAGATGGGAACAATGGGACAGATGTGGTTGGCAGGACTCAAAAGGTTTCAAGGTACCCATTTCGTCAGAAGTAAAGAAATTAGGCTTTCAGTATCTGTTGGATCCATTTGTATAATGCGCGACTCGTGTTAATATTCGATGTATCTTTTTATGCATGCGAGAAACAGGATTTTTACATTTCACAGTGACAAGCAGCGAACGAAATATCAAGTCATGGGGATAATTAGGCATTCTAATTACGCAAACATATAATGTTTGCCGTGGATTAGGTGTTCCTGATAAGCATTCCTGTGTTCTGTAAAGAAATGTTAAAGAAAAATGTCAAAGGAATGCCGTCTCTGTCTCTGAGTACGCGGAAAGCAGAGGCCGGTTTTGTTTGCAGAAATCATCTGTCAAACTGTCAGCGGGCTGCGTGTCAAGGGACTGAAATTGTGACTGCCCCTTGACAGTGGCAACCAATTGAACCCTGAAGTACAACGGGTAACATCAAGCCAGTTGACAAGCAAAGCAACTACCGTGCCAGTGTTTATTCAATTATGCAAAGTAGAGGAACATGTTCATTTAACATCAGCTTGGCTCCCCTTCGTCCTAAATAAAGGAGCAAGCATTGAAAGTGGTAAAAAAAAAAACGAAAAAAAAAGGAGTTCACGCACGTAAAAGAGAAATCTATATACGTACGATTGCACTATCTCGCCTTTATGTTTAATAATGAGAGTGAAACAGAAATTGCTACCGAATGCGGAATTTATTGAAGTCCTTGGGTACGCTGGCGTAAGGATTACAGTTATTTTTATTAATGAAAATAATAATTGTGGGTGAGTACCGAATTTAATAAAGTACTTTAGGAAGGTGCAATGTAATTCGGGGACATTTTAAATGGTCAGTTCTTTGCTACGGATATTATACCGAATGATGATTGGAAAATAATGTTAGTTGTTTGAATATTTAATAGAAGACGTATTTACTTCTTTTGTAGCGTGTGCCAGTTGCGCACTGATTGTAGTGATAGTTAATGATTTCATAAAAATCGTGAAATTACAAACTCTTCGGATGTTTTGAAGTACCAGGAATCTCGGGTACATGTATAAATTTTTGACCGCAGGTAGGCAAGCGCAAAAATAAACAAAGTTGCAAAAGCCTCGCGTATGCAGCCGGTAGTGGAGGGTATGTACCCTATTTTGGTGCAAACAAACATAATGTCGATAGGTACATAGATTAATAGATTCAAAGGGCTTATTTTTGTAGAAAATTCGTTTAATAGTCTGCCAATTACATAATACATTTTCGGCTCGCGGGCGAAGAACCATACAAGTATCGTATTACCGAATTTAATAAAAAAAAAATATACATAGATGTTTCTCCTCGAGAAGCGACAAATACGTAAATACCGACAGAACAAGGATTAAGTACATCCTGATATGAACATAATTTTACGATTATTTCCCATTTAGACGATTGCGAAGGTTTCACACCTTGCGATTTTCTCTTATATGCCGAACAGGTAATAGTTAACAGTCGTGTCGAAACGTTTCCCGCAAAGTTGCCTAGGCTTGTTCACAGTTGCGGTAGTAATTTGTCACTTGTCGAGAATCTGTCATTCCTTCCAAAGATACCAGATCTGCCCCTCTAACATATGAACCGAACGTACTCGCGAGATCTTAAAGCGTCATACACGATAACGATACTTCTCCAGGAATAAATACCAAAACTTGAAGCGCTAACCCAACGCATGCGCATCGAGCGCGAGATAACGCATATACTTGCGCGCGTGCATACACGCATACGTTGAATTACGATAGGGCATAGTCCAAATAAAAATGATTAAGACCCCTTCCGCACTTACGAGGACGTAACGACACCGTCCAGGAAAACGGGACATCGTGTCGGTGGTCAGAATTGCGCAAAAAAAAAGAAAAAAAAAAAAAGAAAAAAGATCCACCAAAGCCGACAACTCATTCCCCCTAATCTCCCATCCAAATTTCTCGAGACAAGACCCCTTGTATACAGTTCGCAAATGAAGGAATCTGCCTAGGGGGCGGGGGGTGATAAAAAGGCGACGCATTCGAATAATTCCCGAGGAGGAATATCCGTGTTCCAGGTAAAGGCGGGCGAAGGCCCGTCGCGACATTTTACGTCCTTGTCGGCGTTGGGTCGGTCGGCCGGTCGGCGATCGCGATCGATCTCGGGAGCCCCCTCGGGGGGGCGGCGGGGGCGGCGGGGCCCGCCTGGGCGGCTCTAAGCCGTCGCTAGCGGTAGCCGATCGGGAGTCCACTAGGCAGCTCCGGAGACACCGGGAATCCTTCGTTTTGTGCGCATGCGCGCTCGCGGTCAGTTGCGCCGGTCGGCGGTCGGCGGTCCGCGCGCCCCCATCCCCCCGCCCTATGCGGGTATGCGTGCGTGCGTGTGTCCCGTCGTCACGGGCCGCCTCGATATATGCGCTCCGATTTTTCCTTTTGTCCCGGCGTGCTGGTGCCTTCGGATCTCCCTTTGCTGCGCGTTCTGCCCCGCCGTGGCCCTTTTGCGTTAAGCCGCACCGCGTGGCACCCGGGACAACGGAACGACGGGCCGGGATAGCGTAAACGCTGCTCCCGACTCTCCCCCTCCCGTCCGGCGGGACCGCGCGCCATTGGTCGGGTTGTCTTGCCTCTCTCTTGCTCTCTCTCTCTCTCTCTCTTTATCTCGGGCCGACCGGCGGTCCTTCTTCCGCGCGCGGAGGGGCCGCTGGGGCTGGCAGGCGGCCCCCCCGCCCCCCGCCCCCTTGCGGGGGCTTCTTCGCACACAGGCCGCCCGATGGCGGGCGGGGTATGCGAACGCCGCGATACTATGTTATGCCTCGGACCGCGGCTCTGACATACTTTGTATGTTAAT